AAATAGTCATAGATTGATGTCAACCCTTCAAGGTAGTCCAGACAAGAAGCATGCCCAAAAGTACCAGCTCTTTATTGTAAGGTAATATTAACAGAATCTTTCAAGTCTGAAAATACATCCCCCCCCCCCCCCCCGCCTTTGCCTTTGCCTTTACAGTCCAAGAAACTAGAGAGGGTCCTTTCTGAGGCGATTGCCACTTCCCCATTCCTTCTCTGGGCTCAGCTGCCTCTTATCTGACCCATGTCTAGCCTACAGCTCTTCTTCCTGTCTCCCAAGGTCATTCCCACATACCATTACAATGTTGGTGTTGCACTGAAACTGTGGGAGGAAAGAGCTGAGACATGGTAACACTCCCCAGCTTTTCTTGTAGAAAAGATAGGGCTTGCTTCATGAAACTCACCAATTTTAATAATCCACAATTTCTACCCTAGAAAGTCACTTCAGTGTGTAAACCAAAAAAGATAACACAGGTCAGGACCTCCTGCTGGAAATGGGATCTGCAATTAGGCTCTTCGTGTAGCAAAGTTTGATAGTAGATTTCCAAAAAAAAAAAAAGTTTGTATATCTCATTTTCAAGTTCAGGAATGGTGGAGGTATAGGATTTAATTTAATGTCATTATTTGTTGGATTTATATCTTCTCTCCTCTAATTTTTTTCCCAGAGCAACATTACAGGTTGGGCTGAGAGACAATGACTAGCCCAAGTCAATGGCTGAACCTGGGACATTTGATCCAAAGTCCAACACCTGAACCTAGCCCTCCACTCATTTTCCATTTCCAGTTTACTGGAATTAGAGAACCGGAAAGATGATAGATTTATGAAATCCTCAAATTTGGCACCAATTTTCATTTGCACCAAGTTGAGTCCTGCTAATTTTGGAAAGTGGGAAATGGTGATGGAATAATTCTTGTTCTGAAGAAAAGAGGAAACTAAACAATGCACTTAGGAGCCAGAAGTCACTACTTTAAATATTGATACAGCACAACATAATTGTTAACAGTATTGCTTTCAGCTTTTGTTCTTTTTTGTCTTTTGTTCTCCATAAAGATTTTTATTTTTGCCTGCAGCAGATAGTTTTATGACAATAAAAGCACTAGAAAAAAGCAATAAAAATAATGGGCAGAAAACAAAACAGAGAAAATGGCCTTTTTGGATTGTTATCTTCCCTGGGCTATATTGTGTATGTGATCAACTGATTTCCTGCTTGATGCAATGGAAAAAAACAAAAACCCACTGCAGTCCACGGCGTTGTGTGTTTCTCGCACTTGTCGGATCTGTTAAAAGCAAATGCCCCTGCCTTTAGGAAGAGCAGACAAGATGCAGCAGATGCAGGAGGACACATGTTGGACCCATGTCTGGCCACCACATGGCTGGTTCTCAGTCCCCAACCCTAGGCTGCTTTTCTCAGATGCAGGAAAGCAGGGATGGGCACGGCTCATCTTTGCCTCTCCGGTTGCACCTGGAATACAACCCCCAGGAATTCCAGCCAGTATGGCTCATGGCGAGGGATGCTGGGAATTGTAGTTTAGGAAACGGAAGTGCTCCAGTTTGCTTGCTTTTTCTGTATGGGCCATTAGCTCATAGCCCTACTGGCCATGCTAAAGTAAGACTCAGCTGCCAATCGGGTTGAATGTTATTTGGGGAGGGATGGGCAGAAGGAACAGTTTTATCCTTGTTGCTCCCAGAAAGATTCAGAGTGATGCTTTTAAACATCCCTATTGCTCTAACAATCATCCAGCAGGAATGGCAGCCTATGGGGGAACCATTCTTTGGGGAGAAGATTGGCCATGGCCAACAAGCTCTTCTGGAATTTGGCATTGCTCTTGGGTAGAGCCCAAATTCCTATGAAGTCATGTTAAGGTCCAACAGGTGTCCTGTCAAACTCTTGTTGTGCTTCAATTGTTTTATTTGATTTATTTTCTTCCATTTGGCCTTTGTCTTTCAAGCACTGCTTTATTGTGGGCATTGTTTCACCCATATTGTTTTTTCACGTTTGCCTAGAATACATTTTTTGGTGGCAACCTCTCCTCTGTTACTGTAGCTCTCTGCTCAGCTCAAGGGTCCATTTATGGTGGTTTCCACTTTCTTTAAGTTTTCACATTATTCCTTTTTTTATCCACGTGTGCATTTTCCACAGTGGAATTTTCCTCCTTTATCACCTGCATTTTTGTAGAGTACTTATTTTTTCATATTTGGAGGAAAGTTGATTTTTTTATTTGTCAAAACCTCTTTTTCTTCAGCTCTTTCCCCTGTTTTTCAATGTCTTATCATCCTGGAGCTAAGTTCTCCTCTTATTCCAAGGCCTTTTCAATTTCCAATTGTGTTTTATTCTTGTTTTCCCCCTTGACTATGCAACAGTTGAGAGAATTTTAGGACTCTTGCCCCATTTGCTGCAGGACATTTTATCTAATCTAATTGTCTGATTTCATAATCCATCTCTGGCTTCTCACAGGATCAGATGATCCAAGTCCTATCTGGCATTTTGAAATCTGCTGTTCATTTGTGTTCAGTTCCTAAGTCCTGGGTGCGTAACAGCAGTTCCTTCAGTCCAGTTTCCTGCTTCACCCAGTGAGAAACCAGATGTCTCTGGGAAGCCCATGAACACTTCATGACGGTAATCATCTATCTCCTATCTGAGCATTTTAGATCCTCTGTATTTAGGACCAGGAGAGGGAGCATAAGAATGAATGAACTATGGCTGCCATCTCACCTGTATCTGTCGCTATCTCATGTTGACTTCCACAAGCGGAAGGGTGAACCTCCAGGGCAGAACCTATTTGAGTTGAATAGTCTCCCTGCAGAATTTATAGCCTCGAATCCCCAAAGGTCCTAGAGAAGAACTTCTTGCTGCAGATGTATACCCTCCAACCATAGAGCATGTCACTGTTTAGATATGGCCCATCAACGCTGCATCAAATGATTATATTGTGGCTAAGGGATAAAAATGATTGGGTTTTGGGCTGGCTTGTTTTTGCTTTGGGAACGTTCTACTTTCTCTCCCTTGCTTACATGAAAATGTCATTGAATGGAGGCCATCTCATCAGCACGTCTTTATACAGTTGTCAAAAACACAGGCGTATAGTGATTTTTAATCAGCCTGCCAGACTGGCGTATCACTAAGAAAGATGAGGGTTTGAGCGTTGTTGTTTTTTTAATACTCAAGATTTGTACTGTTCTGTAACAACTGTAAGACAGATGCTCAGGGTGGCTGGAAAATCTGTCCTATTAGGGGGAAAAAGGAGGCAGTAGCAGAAGAAAGATGTGCTTAAAATTAGGAGCCCTATCCCGTGTCGTATTTGCCCGCTGTGAGTAGTGCTTGTGGTTAAGGATGAGTGTCAAATATATCTATGGTCTCATGCTCTTGGAAATTCATAGGCAAATGGAATCAAGCTAGAGTCCAAAACAGTGTTTCTTAACCTCAGCAACTTGAAGAAGTGTGGACTTCAACTCCCAGAATTCCCCAGCCAGCATGGCTGGCTGGGGAATTCTGGGAGGTGAAGTCCACACCTCTTCAAGCTGCTGAGGTTGAGAAACACTGGTCCAGAAGATCCTGCTGGGGGTTCGTTCACAGCCTAGGAGGAAGGGAAAAGTTGAAGTCCACACCTCTTCAAGCTGCTGAGGTTGAGAAACACTGGTCCAGAAGATCCTGCTGGGGGTTCGTTCACAGCCTAGGAGGAAGGGAAAAGTTGAAGTCCACACCTCTTCAAGCTGCTGAGGTTGAGAAACACTGGTCCAGAAGATCCTGCTGGGGGTTCATTCACAGCCTAGGAGGAAGGGAAACAGGATAGTTGAAGGGCAACCCAAGGATAAGCTGGGGAGGGTAAGATCAAGAATCAAGTTCCGATAGGCTTAATCAAGGTAGCAGCAAGATAGTCTGCAATGAGGTGTGAGTTTTAAGGCTTCGGGATTGCAAGGCACAGATGTCACATATTTTTTTCCAGCATCTGCCTGTTCTCAAGAAGAGGCATTTATATCCAAAACTCCAAGACTTTGCCCAAGCTGAGCTGGCATTAATCAACTGTAATCAGGATGCCCTTTCCTGAGTAAGTTCTACATATCTCAGCTGTCTGACTAATGTTCCTGAGGACTTAGTACTATTACATTGGGATCTGTATCAGGGTTTTGGGCTGTGGTGCCAAAGGTTATGGGGCTCAGCACCAACCCAACTTCAATGTTGAGAATTAATTCTTCAGTTTCAGGAGCTCAGCAGACTTTTCCTGTAACTTAGGTGAGGACTTGCCGGAGGGGGCCCTGACAAAGTGGTGTGCACTTTAAGAAATTGCTTCCATTTAAAGAGAGGGCTCACAATTTAGAAGGCTTTTATTTATTTATTTATTTATTTATTTATTTATTCCCTTTGAGTCAGTTTTTGATTCCGGGAGACTGCCCGGAGAAGTCCCTGAAGTTTTCTTGGCAAGGTTTTTCAGAAGGGGTTTGCCATTGCCTCCTTCCTAGGGCTGAGAGAGAAGGACTGGCCCAAGGTCACCCAGCTGGCTTCGTGCCCAAAGCAGGACTAGAACTCATGGTCTCCCAGTTTCTAGCCTGGTGCCTTCACCACTACACCAAACCGGGTCTTTTTCTGTTATGTCTACCCCACTTTTTTCTATGGTGGCATTCAAAGCTTTTTACGCTAGACCTCCCAGGCAGCTTCCTACAAAAGCGGTGATTTGTTAAATATCCCTTCGCTTCAGCAAGGCTTCTGCATGATGCGCCTTCCTCCCAAGTCCTGGGGCTCATGAGAAAGCTGCTAAACAATCTGACATTTCCTTGCTATTTAAACCTGCTGTTTTCTTTGCCTATGACAAGATATAATGTCTCTAGGAATTAATTGCGGTAAAGAAATCAGAGACTGGTGCTTGTAAGAACCTATCTAAATACCATCTCAACCTTGATGCTGCTGTCTAATAGGATTTCAGGGGTATAATGCTATCACTAACCATTTTATACAGATTGGATCTAAATTATAGCATCAAGGACAGCACTTTCGCCCTTGCGTACATATATATATAACTGAAACAGGCTTCAAGGGCAGACAGTTCTGTGTAGCTGCTGAGTTTGCCCCAAAATCAAACTTTCCTATACGGAGGATGTTGAGAATAAGTAATGCAAAAGACCTCACTTCCTTTTTCAGCACATTTCTACTGACGAAGGGACATAGCAGAAGGTTCAGAGCATGATTCCAATTTCATGTTTTTATCTCCTACAGAAGAGAGTGCATAAGGATGAATGCATGGGTAAATGTTCACAGTTCTCCTTTATAATGTGCTAAAATAATTATCCTTGCATAGATAATTATGCAGAAAAGAGAAAGCATCTGCCGGGCAGTACTTGGAGTCAAAGCTCATTGGGCCCTTACAGCACCCAGAAAGTACAGCAAAATAAAGGTTTTGCATGACATTTGCATATGCTGGTTTATATGCAACTTTTGAAATAATTACAATACATTTATCCATAATGGGGAAGAGTGAGACTGAGTAACTAGAACTCTGGGAAGATTTGATTTGAAGAGTCCAATCAAAGATAATTCAATCAAATCGTTCCTTGGAATTAATGCGTCAAATTGTATTAGGTGTCTCTGAATTGATTCAAAGATTCAGTGGAATTTGGCCATGTGAGCGTATATTTTTGTTGTATCAGACTGAGTCAGAGCAACTCAGCTGTTCATGTTCAACTACAGATTTAACTCAGGTCTTAGTTGGCGCATATGAAGTTGACTTATATGCCCATTGGCTGGTCTATTATTCTGTCACTAGCTGTTGGCAAACATCATCAAGGCCTTCTATCATTATCATAAGCTGTGCTTCCAACACAGGATGTCTTCAAAGAAGCATCTATCTTCCCACACCCCTTCAATATAAAAATTATTCTCTGGAAGGTAGGAACCAGGACCTATCCTCATGGTTATAGAAACTGAGCATTTCAACTGAGACCACGTGGTCAGTTCAACAACAGGAATGAATGGATGTATAAGAACATCCACCTTATGCTTCACTGTTCCATTCCAATGGCCGCATTTCATTATTCACTATATTTAATCTATCCTTACAATGTCACAGAAGATGCAGTGGCACAGCTCCTTGTGGCAAGCATACACAAGAGAAGATTTGTTGGGTCATGCCTTTTAGATCAGGTGGTACTTCAATGGTGCCCCTAAAAATATAATTTCAGATTACCAATACGGTTGTTTACACAGTTGAATTGCTCTTGAACACAACAAAGCCAAGGTGTCTTGGTTTGTCTGAAGGAATGCTCCAGTTACTCTTTGACTAAGTCAACTCTCCAAAAAAAAATGAGTTTACTTGACAAGAGACCAGTGACTCTCTCTCCAAAGAGACTCAGAAGCTATGTTTTAAAAGTTTTAAATCTCTTTGAGAACAATACATGCATAGCATAAAGAAATGTTTATTATAGCAGATCAGCTTTGCAATCGCCTAATGAAATTTCTGGCTTGGAATCTGTTTGCTTTTCAAAGTCAGACAGGTACATGTTAACTTTGTTTGAGAGATGACTGACAGTTTAACAACTCTATTTCTTGTGGACACTGAATGTAAAGTAGCTACGGTTGTATTATACTAACCAAGTGTGTGTGTGTGTGGGGGGGGGTAGTTCTGGAGTTAAATGCTGCAGTTGATAACTGGAGAAGTATTATTCTCTTGTAATTATAATAATATAACTAATGATTTAATAGAATTGAGGTTCGAACTTGATCCATTTTGTACTCCCCAACAGCAGTTCCCCTTTAAAGTGGAAGTATTTTTCTATTGTATCATTTAACCACCCCTAAAAATAGACTTGTGAGCGGGCAGATCTAAACATAATAGTGCTATTATTAAAAGTAACAAGAGCTCCTGAAAGGGTTTACTGACAAGATGGAGCATTCAGTAGCTGAAAGGAAACAAATCTTCCTATAATGATGAAATATAAACTCTGGTTGCACTATATAGGGATGAGAAAAAGAAAGCAGGTCATTTTTAAAGTTTTAGTGGTAGCATAAAATGAACCTCCTGGATTTGAATGTTCCATACATCAATAGTTTTATTACCAAATCATTTAACCTCTTTTAATAGCAGCACAGAGCAATCTCTCATGCTCAAATCCCATCTGAAAAAGAATGAAACCCTGGATACATTGAAGAAACATCTCATGTGCATTTTAATGCACATCATAAACACCGACCTGATCTTCTAAATCAGTTCCTGCAGGGTTGACAAGGACTGTTACACAGTTATGGGTTGCCTCTGCATACAGATTCATCCACAACTATGCCTAAGTATCTTTCAGAAAGATTCAGCCATCTGAACTGGATGGGATAGTACAGGAATGAAGAGCACTGAAGATCTTTCCTCATTACCTGAATCTAAAATTTATACCCTTTCAGCACTTCAATTTTAGAGAGAATTCTATTGGTTTCATTATTTTTCAAAACTTTCCCTATAGAAATGATTTCATTCTATGGGTTAACTCCCCCCCCAACAAATCATCTCCATTTACTCATTAATCAGAAATAAAATATGCATTTATCTTGATTCTCCCCACTGAGTAAAGGCTTAGCTAATCTTGGCTGAGCTCAAAAAGTTCAACAGGATTAAAGTAGGTTCATTCTCAGATGGGCAA